AAATGAGGTTTTTTTCTCCAATCAGCGTGGGAGAAGGAGGAGAAAGCTCCTCATTTTACATTTGCATACAAGGAAACCCCATTAAATACATTGTCCATCATTCAACTGCTGCCAAAAATGGCCTGTGTTTAGTTATGGAAACTAACTATGAAGCTGATTAAATGCAGCTAACACTGGACATAACTATAAATCACATGGCATACTGGGCAAGCATACTGCTGGGAACCTACATTTTTCTAAGGAAAATGGTTCGTGTTCCAGGTCAAATTAGGCAGATCAGTTTCCAAACCTTTGAATCACTCAAGTACCATATGTGGCCCTATTAAAGACAAATATCCTCCATTCCAGACTTTTCAGCCTGGGGCTTCAGATACTTCCAAATCTTTTGGCAGGCATCCTAAATGCAGGCCCAAGCCCAGAGGCTTTGGTTTCAGATTCCCCCAAATTTCACTTGCCCTCAGCTGTATGGCCGCAGGAGCAAGCTAGGTAGGAACCTCCCATTTCCATAAAGTCGGCATGTAGCCGAGATCCTCCCGCTGGAAGCTGGCCAATGGGAAGCTAGCTATGAGGCTCTCATAGGGAGTCCACATGCAGACAACGGTGCACCCTCCACTACACAGTGCTACTTTAATTGCATTATCTTAGTCATGGTATTTCCCTTGGGAACCTACCACTTTTTAAAATTATTATTATTTTATTTTTAAGGAAATGTTTTCATGTCCCAAGTCAAATCACCTAAATCAATTTCAAATCCATGTGAATCATTCAAGAACTATATGTGACCCTGCTACTGGCAAACATCCTCCACCCCCACCTGGGGCTTCAGATTCTTCCAAATCCTTTGGTGGGCACCCTACATGCAGGCCCAGGCCTGGAGGTTTGGGGTACAGATGCCCCCGAGTTTTGCTTGCCCTCAGCCGTATGGCTGCAGAAGCAAGCTAGGGAGGAGTTCCCCATCTCCCTAAAGTCAGGATGTTGCCAAGATCCTCCCATTAGAAGTTGAGATGGGAGGTTAACTATGAGGCTCTCAAAGGGAGTCCTGTCCACAAGCACACAAGGGTGCAACCCTCCACTACACAGTACCCTTTTAATTGCATTTCCTTTGTCAGAGCACTGCCCCCTGCCATGTTTGTGGTTTTCCCCTACCAGTAGGAAAACCACCTTGATGGTCATGGTATTTCCACTGGGGAACCTACCACATTTTTTTAACATTTTTTTGTATCCAAGGCCAAATTAGCCTAAACTAATTCCAAATCTAAGACCCCAGAACCATAAGTGGCCCTACTACCAGCAAACATCCACCACCTGCACCTAGAAATTCAGATGTTTCCAAATCCTTTGGTGGGCATCCTACTTGCTGGCCCAAGCCCAGAGGCTTAGGGTTTGGATGCCCCCAAGTTTTGCTTGCCTTTAGCCATAAGGCCCTTGGAACAGGCTAAGGAACCTACTGCATGGATAGATTAATGCAGTACATCTGAATCAGATATATAGTAGTGCCCATTGAGAGCAGCCTCCTTCAGCACTTACTCTTTTAAAGTCTTGGTGAGCCACTATGTTGCATAAATTTTGACTTCTACTTCACTCCCACAGCCGAGCAGTGCCTTTCCTTCCCATTTCCAATGATTCCTGTTTCTGCACCAGCCTTAAACGTCTGGCAAACATTACCAAACGGCTCCTCTGTCACCCGCTCTGTCAGCCTGGCACATATGATTATTGTAGGCCAACCCTCCATGAGGTGAAGCCAAATCAAGTTACCCTATGCCTTATCTGCATATAACATTTTGGAAGATCCCCAGACTCATGACAAGAACACCCAGTTCCAGTCATGAGTTGGGAGGGGGGGATACTAATTAGCAGATCCTTTATGTGAGATATCTAGAATATACACAGATACCAAGCAGAGCTGAGCTATAGAGTTACCATGGCTTGAAACTGTTAATTCTGGTGGAGCTCATCCTACTGAAATATATGGTAAATCATGAGCCTTTTGGCATTGAACTAATGTCATGCATAAATCTGTCTATTGCACTGTGGGCAGGCACCCATATGAGAGTCTACAACAGCCTCCCAATGGGAGGATCTCTGCTACACAACTTATGGTGATGGGGGACTGTTCTTGGACGCTCCCTCTAGCTTGCTCCTATGGTCTTTTAGCTAGGAGCAAGAGAGACTAGGGGGCACCTGAACTCCAAGGCTTCCAGGTTTGTGGCCTGCATGTAGGATGCCTGTCATGGATTTAAGAGTATCTGAAGCTCCGGGATGAAAAGTCTGGGAGATAAGATACTTGCCAGTGGTAGCATCCCACAGACTTGAATGACTAAGGCCTTCTCAGCTGATAGAATTTGGAACTGATTTGGCTAATTTGGCCTGAAATGTGAAATTATAATAATTAAAAAAAAAAAGTTTCTACTACATGGAAGTAGGTACAAAAGTGCTGCTTAAAAGTGTGTTTATGAAGTACCTGTGCTAACATTGGCAGCAGTTTAAAAACTGATAACATGCATCAATTCTGGATGAACTAAATTACTACAGGCATGTTTATTTCAAAGTCAATGTTTTCACATTTGCCCCACACTTCCATGTACACAGGGAGAACACGGTCTGCCAATAACGGGGGGGAGGGGCTGCAGAGGGAAAAAGCATGGGTTACACAGAGCAAGGGGGCCACAGGACCACCACCCCACCCCACCCCCCCGATTTATTTTCCCTGCTGTAGCAGTGGGAGATGGACAAATTCAAGGCAAACCTCAAATAATTAGGTTCTAAACCTGGAAAATTGAAACTAAATTATAAATTTTCCATACACAGAATCTAATTATTAGGGAGTTGTCTTATATTTGTATAAATACAGTAGAGTGGAAGGATCACTTCCCTTGGCTTTCAAGTAATGCTCTTATTAATACAGCCCAGTGTACTCTTGGCTCTTTTTGCAAGAAGAAAACACTGCTGGCTCATAATCAGCCTGTGGTCCCCTGTAACCCCTAGGTCCTTTTCTGTAGTACTACAGCTTGGCCAGTCATTCCTCAGTGTGTATCTGTGTATGTGATTGTTCCATCCCAAGTGCAGGACTTTACATGTGTCCCTACTGAATTTCATGCAATTAATTCTGGGCCATTTTTCCACCTTATCAAGGTCATTCTGAATCCTAATCCTAATCCTATCCTTCAAAAAGCATCTGCAACTCCACTCATTTTGGTGTCATCTGCAAATCACTGAAGTGTGGCTTTAATTTCATGTTCCAAATTATTAAGAGATATTAAACAATACCAAACCCAGACAACTTTCAGTGGCCCAGACCCAGGGCATTCTCATCTTCTATTTCCCATTATCAAACTGGTGTTTGGACTTACCAGGAGGTCAGCCTTTGAAGTGAATGTAGAAAAGAACAAAGTCTGATGAACTGCAGACTGGTTAATTTTATTATGTAATTCATGAGGGGAGAGAAAGATAGAGCCCAGTATGGGTAGCCCTTTTTCTGTATTTGCCTTTAACTAAACCTATAGTATGAACGTAACTTAGGGTGCATGTACATGTTGCCGTATGGCGATGTTGCTATGGCACCATGCTTTAATGCTTCCTCTTAGAAGTACTAAAGCACAGTGCAGTACAGGTGGTTACTGTGCCGTGCGCACAACACAGATTACATTTTGCCTCTACGTCGCCATACCAGGATGTTATACTGGGGGAGTGTGCTGCTACAGTGATGTAGCTGGCAATCATGTGTAGACTCACATGATTGCTACGTAGGGTCCTTAGACACTATTATGGCAAGTTAAATGACTGTCCAAGCCCTCAGGACTGTGGTACTGACATTAGTTTCCACTGAATCAATTATTTAAAAACAATGTGTTTTATTCAGTTTCAAAAACCCAAAGGAGTATTTTAAATCCTAACTAAAGAATCTACCAAAATCAGTGGTATCTGATAGACTTGCTTAGTCTATAAGAATCTTAATTTATAAGGACATTTATATACATGCTCCACAAGGTGGGGGCGCTTTAATTAGAGTGGCTCCAAGAGCTACTGTAATTAAAAAGCCCAGAACATCACATGTATCAGCATCCCCATGCTGAAAAATGGCAATGGAGACACTTTAACTAAAGCTAATTGAACAAGCTTTAGTAAAAGCACCCCCCCCTCCCCCCATTTTCAGCACTGGGACGCTGATACATGTGACACTGGAGTCTGCTGGAACACAGTAATTAACATACTTCACCAGACTTGATTAATCAAGTATACTCTGACGCGTTGTAATTACAGTGAGACAGAACAGCCTCAATGCACATGTATAGGTGTCCTAAGTTGCCACTTGCTCTACTCTCTCTGCTTAACTGCAGACTAACATGACTAACTACCTCTCTCCACTAGGAACCTATAGTAATGTATCCTTCTTGTTCTGTTTCTTAGAGCAGGGGTTGTCAATCAGGGTTTTGCTGCTGAGCATGGGGGACCTCACCCCCCCTGTGCCCCTCCCACTTAGGGGACTCCCTGCTTCTCAACCAGCCGTCAGGGGGTACACCAACCAAGAAAAGGTTGTAAACCCCTGTCTTAGAGCATTGAGCCAAATCATGAATCCTTTGCACAGCAGTATTTTTTTTTAGATGGGCCAATGTCCAAATGCCGTAAGAGTCAGTTCTCTTATGACATTGAAAGTTTGAATCAGAATTACTGCATCTAATTCAACTTAAACAATAGCAACATAAAAGCAAGCAAATAGATTTGAACAGCTCCAATAATTTTTGATATAGAAAGGGCAATGATCCTACATCCTTTCTTCTCTTTCTCCTATTTTTCAAATACCATCTAATATAAATGCTTGCAGTTTCTAACAGGACAGAAGCAGGCATAAAAGCATAGTCAATTTTAGTTATAGAAGCCATATAAATCTTGTGCTATGTAATCAGTCTTTGTAAACTGCCCATCAGCTTCCATCTTACTGTAGATGTGAGGAAGGGGATGTGGACCAGTGTTAACTATAGACTTTTGAAATGATTGCTAACCTGCATGTTGTCTGTAGCATCGCCCAGCAGTCCTCCAAATGTGATAGCATTGGTTACTGTGGCCAGGTAGATGAAGAGAATGGCTGAAAGTGCTTGGATATTTAAAGCATCATAGAAATCACTGGCAAAGAAAGGTGTTTTCCTTTTTATATCTTTGAATAAGCCACCACAAAATCTGAAAAAATAAGGTGAGCAGGAGAAGAATCATGTAAAAAGCAGTGAAATAATATTCATCCAGAGGAACAATAAACCAGAAACATCACCAAAAAATGAGAGGCTATGCAGTCCATCTGAAAAGATATGGATAGGGACCTATCAAATTCACGGCAGAAGTGGGGTGTGCTGCAGCTCCTTTAATCTTGCAGGGCTCCCACATGACTGAGCTCCTCCACCACTGTTTGGTGAAGGGGCTGCACTTGCAGCTCACTTTGGATTGCCAGAGAGGCAAAAACTGCTGTTTTAAATATGGCATCATTTTTGCCTCCGCCTGCTGACTGGCTAAGAGGCCCCAGTGTCCCTGATGCTTGCTGGTGACCCAAGGGGAGGCAAAAACCATGGCATGTTTAAAATCGTGGTTTTTGCTTCCCTGCCAATCAGGAGGGAGGGGTGGGGCCCCTCTGCCAATCAACAGCAGTGGGAAGGGGCAGGGGCACACAGGGGAACATGAAAGACTTCCATGTTCCCCCGCCATTGATTGGCAGAGGGGCCCCACCCTTCCCTCCTTATTGGCAGGGAAGTGAAAACCATGGTCTTAAACATGCCATGGTTTTTACCTCCCCGAGGGTCAGCAACAAGCATCGGAGCCACCAGGGCCCCTCAGCCAATCAGCAGCTAGAGGCAAAAAGGGCACCATATTTAAAACAGCAGTTTTCACCTCCCTGCCAATCAGAAGCAAGCTGCAAGCATGTCCCCTCACCAGTTAGTGGTGGAGGGGCACACAAGGGAACCTGCAAGATTAAAGGAGCCACAACACACCCTACTTCTGCCATGAATTTGGTAGGTCCCTAGATGTGGAACATCGGTCATTTCTATACATGGGGTAACAGATCTGCTGAATAGAAAAATGGTTCAAATTTTTAACCAGAACAAGAACTGGCAGTACAAAATGTACGGAAAACGGCAAAGACTGGTCATCGGTGTATGCCACTTCCTTCCTTCAGAGGACAGAGGAGCTCAACTTTGTCGGGAAAGGGAGCCAAAATGTTCCTTTTAAACACCTGAAAATGGAACACAATTTGGTTTATAGGAATTCCACCAGAAGCGTTCCACAGATAAGCAGGTAAGCAGCTTTCCTTTATTAAAGGTGATTTTGTCATAAATACTCATCAGCATCAATCACCCTCACATCCGCCTGGAAAGCTAAACTCTTCCCTCTTAATCTCTCACATAATCCATCTACAACTCTCCCTCACAGGCACTACAACTACAGGGTTGGAAGGGATTTCTTGGCTCATCTAGTTCAACTCCCAGCACAGATGCAGGACGCACGATCCTGAAGCCATCTCACATGGTGCAGTGTGCGCTACCTATCCTCCATGCCACATGTTGACTGTTACAAACATTGCGTATTCCATTCTTAAGCAATCCAGACACTGAATATTAAGAGGTGTAGTGGGCAGTCACACCATATGCTAATTTCTGCAAACAAATTCCTTGGCATTCATCATAACTCTAACTTCAGGCTCTGCAGTTTTTTGTTTTTTTTTAAATGGAATGGTTTAACTTGACCGATACCTTGACAATATCTCACTAAAGAAAGTCTTGGAATCTCAAAACACTTTACAAAGTGTCATGGCAATAAATATTAGTAGAAGCATGAGACCATTACCTCAAAACTTGAAATGTTACTTCCCTCTAGTCTAGAAACATTGCAAGTTGGGTAGAGAAGGGGATATCTAAAACTGTTCTAAACTACATCATCTCAATCACAATAAGATAGTACACTGAAATTAAGTCACTGCACTGTGCCCTATATGGGACCGATTCTGCATTCTGGTAAAATGTATTGATTCTGTGTCAATCCTTTGAAACAATGAAAGAGGGAATTCAGGCCTCATTTATCACAACTTGCTCTTTTTCTAGTTTACTCTTCTACAATCATGGGAATTTTTGGAAAACAGAATCTCTGTCTTATGAAAAAGTTACAGGGTTTTTTAATAAACTTTTTATAACCCGACAACAACTGAAACATTTTTACAAGGCCAGGTGGAAAATGTAGCTGCATTTTAAACATACATATCTGATAACAATCACAAGGGCAGCGGCCATTACTTTCAAAGTGACATATAATGTTGGGTTTCTCTATTTTTTAGTGCCTAATTTAATATACCTGGAAGGGGAATCTGATTTACAGATGTGAAGTGCTCAAGACCTTTCAAACTGCCTTAACTAGAGCATCTAAAGCCACAGGTCACTTCTGAAATTCTGAGCTACTGTTTAGGTCAGCAGCATCAACTATATGGCCTGTGGCCCAGATTCAGCCTACAGAGCCCTGCCATCTGGCCCCCAGTGCTGTCCCCGTGTCTGATCAGTCCCACATAGGCATGGTACATACCCATGGCATGGGGCCAGTGTGTGAGCTGAATCTGGCCCGTAAACCCATTCTCTCTCTCCCATCCCCCTCTCCCAGCATAACAGATCCAGCAACTGTTCCAGCTGGTCTAGGACTCCCACTGTATGCAGTGTGGATCCCACTATGGCTGGAATAGGTGCCATGTGCAGTGCAGTCTGGCTGGAGCAGCAGCTATGCTGCACTTGGTGGCCACCACAGCTAGACTATGCTACGCACAGCTCCCATTCTGGGATGTACACCATACATGACACCCACTCCAGCCAGTCTGGGACCTGCATGATGTGTGGCACTCACAGGCACCTTGTGGAGTACAGGTCCAAGACTGGCAGCAAGTATCATGTGTGGTACAGATCCCATAGCTGTTGGGGCAGAAGCTGTATGCAGCACAGTCCAGCTAGGGCAACCACCATGTGTAGTGTGGTGGCTGTGCTTCATGCAGCACCCATTCCGCCACATACAGTGCAGGTCCTGCACTCACTGGAGCAGCTGCCAATCATATATGTTGGGGGAGGGGAAGGGGGCAAACAAGAGGGTCTATGAGCCTGATCTGGCTCACGGACTGGCCTCAGGGGCCAGATGAGTTTGATACCCCATATTTAGGTGTACCAGAGAAACAAGCAATATTCCACAAGGGAAACACGCTAAGGTGTGGAAAGTTTCAAAAACTTCAAGTTTCAAAAACTGTGCAGCTCATCAGGCTGCACAGTTACAGGAAAGTTTGTCACTGACCTGCCAGTTCGCTGTAGTTCTTCACAATCACCGTGGCCACCACCTCCATGGCCCCCATCATGCGGTGTGTCTCCATTCATCTGTACATTCTCACCACCTGAATACATGTTCTTCCTAAGCAGTAAGAAAAAACAAAGTGAGGAGTCAATGTAGCAAACAGCAAGTTCACAAAACACAATCCACCTTGTCTAGCCATCACACAATGCCATCACACAATGCACACAATGCATTCAATGCATGTCTTCTTCTGTGTTTAAAAAATGGTGGCATGTAAAAGAATGCTGCTGCCACAAAAGGAGCTGAAATGGCATGCTGAGGGCAAGGGGTTAACTCACTGAACATTGGAAGCACTAAAACAAAATCCCATATTGAGCCTAAACACAGTTACAAATGCCTTGTTACCTTAGAACAAGCTTTTTTTTTTTGTCCACATAGATTGTTGGTACAAAGGCAACGGTGTGAGAACATTTCCCATACGACTCTTAGCAAAGACCTGAAACTATCTATAGCGAAATCAACATTCTTAGACAGTGGTGTCAGACAATCTTCTGGCAGAAGAAAATGGTGGAAAATGTAATGGAAGAGATAAAATTCACTCATCTACTTCGCTCCGCTCCTCTCCTCTCCCCTCCCCTCTCCATGCCCTGTTTACATACTCTACTCATCAATTCTCACTGACCTGCCCATGCTATGGCCCACAGCGATGTATGTTCAGGTGTTCATCCAATCAGATCCTGGATATCCCCTTCATTTCCTTATAATTAGCACATCTATCTCAGGACATTCAACTCCATTCACTGACACAACCCACTCTGCTGCAGCCCATTACCTTTTATCAGAAGAGGGGAGAGACTTGGGGGGCTCTATCCTGATAGCTGGGTCCCACTCGCCAGGTGGAAGCACAATGACTTCATCAAGAAACTCATCAATTCCAGCAATCAGGTCCTGCCTGTCTTTGGCTTTATAGGCAATGTCATGGAACACCTGCAGAGGAAGCAAGACTCTCTGTAAGGCTCCATCTCCAAGACTTCAGCAACAAACAAGCATTTTCCAAAAGAAATAAAAGGGCTGTATAAGAAATAAAATACTCAGTACATTAGCAAAGAAATAAATATGTCAGTGGTGCTGGTGATAATGACATTTTAACTTTCAGAGTAGAGCAGGCCAAAATATTGAACAAGGGTTTCGTTTGAATCAAACCTTGCATTTAAAATAACTTTAAAAATAACTGCTTTTAAAATTATAAAATATCTTCATTCACCCCCCAAAATACATTTTTAATAAACAATGAGTTTCAGTAGAGTTCTAACAATGCTTTAAGGAGAGAGGTGTGCAGGGGGAAGAGAGGGAGCTATTAAAATTATGCCAAAATTTGTCAAGAAAACAAAAAAGGGTCAGTTTTTCAAGCCTGCAAAGCAGAAACAATATAAACACTTTCATTTCAATTTTTAAAAATAATACATCTTCAGAACAGTTCTGCTGATGAACAAGCCAGTCAGTGGAAATGCAAAATGGCAAGGCGACAGCCAGTAGTTGAGAGAGACAGAGGAAAAAAAGATTACTAAAACTGATTTTTCATAAATATGTCAAAGATTTCAGTATGAAAACTGGGGCAGGAGGTGAGATGGAAACTAGCACAGGGAGGCCATGGGAAGAAAAAGGCATTTATAGGAGAAGAGGGAGGACACTTGGTGCATGGAAAAAGGGTTGGTTGTTTACAGCAAAGTGGACAGAATAATGAAATCATAGAGGAGCTGCAAGTAGTTAAATAAAAGTATCATATTTACTCACATACCACATGCACTTTTTTCTAAAAATTAGCCATCTCAAAATTGGAGTGTGTGTTTTAAGCACACAAGCTGATTTCACAATGAAGCAGAGGTATGGGGGTGTTGGAATGGCTACTTGGGGCAGGCTTCCTCTTAGCCATGTGGAGGTGGGGTGCAATGTGCCACTCATCCAGAAGCTAGAGATTTAACTCTATCAACAGCCTTTACCGAATGATAGGAGCTTTTGACTGAGCAACCAAAAGCTGCTACCAATTTGGCAACAGCTATAAGATGCTTACACCTCTAGCTTTGGACTGAGCAAGAAAGGGAAGGAGAGTGAAGCTGACAAGTAGACTACCTCTGCTCCAAGAAGCCAGAATTCAGCTGTGACTTTAGAAAAATCTTTTTTCTCCATTCTGCCTTCCTAAAACAAGACGTGTGTCTTATTTGGGAGCATATGCTATGCAAGAAATGCAGTAAAAGTACTATAAGGCAACAGTTGTACAGAGCTGAAGGCACACGTGGAGGAGGGGAAAAAGTTTTGACTTCATGTGGAAAGAAAGCGTTATACTGCATGAGTGAGGGCAATTATTAGCAAGTAATTACAAATTACACGTGGATAATGTCCAATTATTAGTTAAATAAAAGAGTAGTTCTGGGACACTGTGCAACACAAAAACAAGAAATGCTGGATGTAACCCCTTCCACAACAACTACCTGTTCTGTTGTTGCAGGTTACCTGTGATCTCAAAACACAAGCAAAGAAAAAGCTCTGTAGAGGAAAGTTGAAATGTTGACTCAATTGTGTATGAAAGAATTACTGTTTGCAAGGAAATATAGCAGGATTACAGGTACTTTCTAGTTCCATAGGTTTAGAGAATTACAAAGGGTAGATTATTATATCATTGTGTCAAAAATTGAATTATAAAGACAATCAAAAGATGACATCTCATTTGTGGATAGGTTTTCACAGTCATGCCATGACATATAGCCCAATGTACTATAGAGAGAGATGGCACCAACAAATTTATCACATAGCAAAGGAAAAGGAAAACTACCATCTAAAAAAGTGAAAACAACAACAAAAACAACTGTACATGGCACATGTAAAGATGCCTACCTCATCAGACATCAAAGTGGCAATGGCTCGACCAATCTCATGATAGGATTTAGCTTTGCCCTTAGGACCCAGCAAAATGAATAGAAATCTGACCAAACATAAATAGATTGTTACCATTTAGGATAGTAAACTGGATCATTTGCTCATACATTATACCATAAATTTGGCTACAATACACTAAAAGGAGTGAGCATGGGGATTTGTCTGTAAAGGATTATATGTTATAAATAAGAAATGTAAGAGGCTATAAGATCAGTTTCTCTTCTCTTGAAAGACATGCTTTCACAAGACAGGACACAAACAAACACTAAAGCTGGGTGTTTCAAAAGTTTTTAGCATTGATCTAAGTGTCCCCACCAAAATCAACAGCAAAGCTCTCAGAGATGTCAGTGACTGTAGAGTTAAGTTAGCATAGAGTGCTTCTGAAAATCCCACTTTAAATACATAATAATGTAATTGTACATCAAAAGGGCCATGACAAAGATACAGTTTCAGTGGACGCATCTACATGTGCTATTAATTTGACAGAATACACTCTGGTGCAGTTCACACCGGAGTTTATTGCTCCCAGGCACACCGTTTTCATGAGCACCTGGGACCGCAGCATGTTGAGCTGGCAGAAGGCCTGGGGGTCAGCCACCGGACTGAGGCTGTTCTGTCCTGGCTCGACCTGCTGTGGGAGGGCTGACTGGGTCATGAGGGTGCTCCAGTGTGGGAGCTCGCCAGCAGGCAGCCCCACACTGAAGCACCCTCGTCATCCAGCCAGCACTGTCAGCATCTAACTAACACTGCCACAGGACAGCAAACACTTCACGTAGACGCACCCAATATGTAGTAAATCCAAGCAAAAAATGCATGAAATATAAAAAAATCTAGGAAACATTGGAAAATCCATTATTAGTTAAAAATGTAAAGATTGTTCTCTGAGGTGCTAAACAATCATGGTTTGTCATGATCCCACTGGGAGCCTTGTACTGAACTCCAAAGGAGTAAAGACTGACATTGTGTCAATAGCTTAACCAATGTGCTTATTCCTTTAAAATATGTGTATTTTCACTAATCAAATTTAATACACTACCAAATTTTTCCTTCAGTTATACCCTGTAGGCATGTGGTGTTCACATGGGTTGGAAGGCATGAATGAAAGGAGAAAATGTTTCTTCTGGCTTTTCCCTCCAAAGACTTAAAAAAAGCACCATACACAGCCAAGCTCAGATCACATCTCAATTAACAGGCATATTCTCTGACCCACTGGCACCCCACAGCAGCAGATCTATATCATCTCATTCATGAATCAGGTGCAGACAGTTAATACGGTATTCTTCAAATGCTCAGAGACCAGGAAATATGGTACTACCATATTTACTCACATATTACATGCACCTTCTCCCCCCGCCAACCCCCCAATAATTAGCCATCCAAAATTGGACTGTGTGCCTTAAGTGAGGAAACTGATTCCCATACTAGAGTGGAGGAAAGGTCTTACAGGGTATGCGCTTCTTACAGAGCTGTACACAGAAGGGGTAGAGTTTACTGCTTAGCATCACTCCCCCTCTCCTTGCAGCTCCATGGCTATATCTTTATCCCTCTCTCAGCCACTGCTAAATTGGCAGCAGCTTTAGGCTGAGCAACCAAAAGCTGTTGCCAATCAGTAGAGGCTATGAAAGGGTTAAACCTCTAGCTTTTGGCTGAGCAGCAAGGAGAGGAAGTGTGATGTTGGTAAATGGACTCTGTCCTTGTTCCATGCAGCTAGCATTCATAGATTCATAGATGTTAGGGTCAGAAGGGACCTCAATAGATCATCGAGTCTGACCCCCTGCATTCAGCCATGACTGGAAAAATCTTTTTCTCTTCACCCAGACTTCCCCCAAACAAGGTGCATGTCTTATTTGAGGGTTTGAGGTATGCAAGAAAATATGGTCCTTACTTGGCCTATAGATACAGACCAAACACAGCCCCCCACAAACTTTGTTATACAATATTTTCTTGCATGCACCGTGTCCCGTTTTATAGCGCACACACTAATTTTAAGAGGAAGGATGAAGCACTATATATATTCCTTGCAGAAACTGATTTTCAGTCACTCAGGAGCTGCACCTACTGGCTGCACCTACTGTACCCACATGCTAGATGGGGCCTACCAAATGAGCCGGTGCACTATGTCTGACACCACACCGGATCTGAGTGAGGTGCATCACACTATGCAGTCTGGGGCAACATTCCATGCCTGACTCAGGACCCTTAGTGCAACTCCACAAACTGGCTCCAGGGCCACATAGTGGACCCTACCAAGTGAACCAAGTCTAACTCTGTGCATGGTCCAGGACTATGTGCCAGGTCCGACCTGACACACCTAATCCAACCCCATGCACTGGCCCCAGCTGCATGTTGACCCCAGGTACAGGCCCACATTATCCAGCAAAAAGAGCTCCCTAGGGGTCCGGAAATATGGCAGTGGGGGAGTAGTGGCAGCATTAATTGCCATGGGAGAGTCTAGGATTTTAAAAAGGAGGGTGTGGGTGGTGTGATGCGGCACATCCCACAATGCAACACATTTTTCTCCAATTAAAAAGCAACTAGAAGCTTTGCTAATATAATATGCTATGGGGTCTAAGGGTATAGTATTCAGTTTATGACCTAAGCCAAAACAAATACCATATTTTCTTACATATAACCTAAACTTTTTTCACCAAAACAAGTTGGTGAAACTTGGTGTGCACATTACTTGCAAGAAAACCAGATCCGTATAGGTTCAGAAATTTAGCTGTGCAAGAGCCATCACACCACCCACACCCTCCTTTTTAAAATCCTAGACCCTCCCATGGGTGTGGCTATAACTATCCATCTATCACTGCCAGCAAAACGGCCTGGTCAGATGGGGTACTAGAGAATAGGGCATAGTGACAGGCAGGTATTCCAGCCAGGAAAGGGTGATGAGTGAGCAAGGCAGTAAGGTGTGTGCATTTGCAATGGGAAGAACCATTAGGAACAATATTATGAACAGTATCTTTGAAACCACCTTGTTCTTCTTCCCCCACTCCTCCCCACAAACCAGTAGTCTGGCAGTATTCAGAAACATGCCACTCTGTAATTGATTATTAGTTCTTCACTAGGGATGAATTGTCAGTAAACTTCAGAATCCAGACAGCTACTCTTGTGAGAAGAAAAACTATTAAGTCAGCCTTTGAGCTCCTAATAATTTAGCTAAACTGACAGATCCTAGCCTGCACTGCATTTTAGCTGAGGGTATATAACACAAACTAGTTTACAGTAAACCCTTCCACTGACTTCACAGCTATCCATCATGTTTTTCAAAAACATCAATTTACATGGGATTACATGAATATGTTTTTAAACATATATCTACTGTAGAAACCAGTGTTTATGATATTCTGAATTGAATCTTTAATTGAAGACTTAAGACAACTATTGCATATTGATACCACTTTCAATAGCACCACAGTACAGAATCACAGAAGATGGGGGCGTATTGCTCTTTGCCTTCACTGCCCTTGCATCTGTTAATGCTGATGCATCCCGATTTAAGGCCTGTCCACACTTAAAAGGGCTTAATCAGAATAGCTGAACCAGGAAAGATATAACAGCAAACCCTCCCTCAAGGAGATGGAGCCCACATTACAGAAAATTTAATGTCCCAGTGGCCAAGTCTACACAATTAGTAGTAGTATTAGGCTACTGGGCAGTCAGTGTCATGAAAAGACATTCATCAGCACTACCATGCAGTAACTTCGGTTACTGTGCAGTCATTTAATACTTGTTTGTACAAGTACTAAATGATTGCGCAGCAATGACTACACAGTCAGCATCTCACGTAGCCACTATAGCTTAAACCAGTTCCCTGAAGCTGGCTTACAGGCAAGACTTTGTGTCCCTTCCTCATACCTCTCCTCCAGTATGGCTATATCTGGGGGAACCATTGCCAACCAACAGGCAGCAATACTGGATATTGGGGGTGATATCATGAGTCATTCTCCCTGTCCATGTGAAGAAACATGCAGATGTGGAAAGCAACATTTATTGAGGCTATGAGGAACACCCAAATATCTGGTGAGCAATCCCAGATCAGATCATGAGCCATGAGCACTGGATCTCTGCTCTTGAGTTGCTATCACAATAACTGTATCAGTTAGGGGTGTGATTCTTTTCATTCTTCTTACCACATCAGCACTGCTGAAAACTTTTCAGTGCATGCTAATAGGAGTCTGACACCAAAAAAAGCTTTGAGGCTGTGATCTGAGGACTTTTAAGGATTAGGATTAGCAAATTCAGGCCACCAGTGCTGCGGTGCCAATGCACCTGTCTCTGCTGTGTGGGAATTATTTTATTTTAAACTAGATTTAGTGTTGCTGAATGTCTCCAGACTGCTAGTAGGATGTTTACAGCAGAGCTAGGTATGGATAGTGGGAAAACAAACAACCTAAAAAAAAACTGACAAAAAAATCATTCAAACTGTGTACCTTGCCTATAAAGGGTTTGGGCCACATGCTAGGCTGGAAAGGCAGTTCAGTCCCTATGTCCAATCCCCATCTCCCCACCTCCCCTACGTTTCCCAAGATGGAAGCCTTGTTACTTGTATCAGCAGCTTTGCGATATGGCAATATAGTCTACAGGAAAAGGACCAAGACCATTGTGTAGACCAGATGGTACCACTCAGTGCCACTCTCTCCGAAGCTGGACCGTACCCAAAAACTTTGAGATGAAAGGTTTCTTTAGTTAAATTTCCAACCTGGTGCCTCTACTACATGGAAGATACAAGCCAGCCGATGTGTTTACAATTTCCATTAACTTGGGAATTAATTACGAGAAAAGCCCAATCTTCAGTGAATCTGCTATGCTATTCTGGACTTGAAGGAAAAATACTACAGACCCCGTCACACATTGCACATATTACACAATTAACCAGTTAATCACACAATAAATTTAGACTGGCCACCCATGCAAAGTAAGACCAGCCACAGACGCAAAGCAATTATCACAGCATAAAAATGTCCATCCAGCTATAAAAAGAGCCAACCAGCTATGAAGTTAATGCTTGAAAATGTGTAACAATTGTAAAGTTGTTTTATC